GTGCGGAGTCACCTGATGAGGCACTTTCAGGTCAGGTTAGGTCACTCTAACCGAACTTACAAAATCTCTTTTTCAGACAAAAGAGACAGTGAGCGATACCACGAACTGAACATCACATGGTGAGCTCTACAACGTAAGATAGGCAGATATCCTATTCAACGCATGATTAAGGGATTGACGATACTCCCTGTCGATTAAACCTGTTATCAATGGAAAGCGAATTGTTTGGGTGGATAAAAACATCCACCGAATTGCGTATATGATCATGGAATCGCTCATAATAACGTTCGGAATTTACATGAGAGTTAAACACGGACATTTTAGACCGGGAAGAAATTTTATCAGTCGTGTGTTGACAGACTGATTGATTACCACGATGAAGAACGTACAACAAATCCCACCAATTAGGGAAAACAGGGTTGCATCACCTGGAGACAATAGGGATAAAACCTCGGTTTTTAATTCAGGTCAAACAAACGCCAAGGTAAATTGTTAGCTGTTTGCCCATCCTGGTAGGAACAAATACATAGATAAAATGATGGCCACACACTACTGTACATCGGCCGGAACAGTGAGATCTTTTGTTATGATCAAATCAGTTCAGTGTAAAGTTAGGCATTTATGCCTGTAAATAATTTAGCATTCTAAAACGTTTTCTTCACTAGCCTAGGAGACTTATGTAATGTGTAATCAGTGCTTGAGCTGTAAAGCTGTGCAATAGTATCTATGAGTTTGAAACATGGTCATATCAGAGGGATTCGGTGTAATCTGTTACTAGGTAGAACTGATGCCATCAAGGCACCATGGTAACCATTCATCGAAAGCACAAACTGATGCCGAAAATTTGTCTCAGAGGCATTTTGATTGACGGTTTGCGAAGAGAGTAACAACAAGGCGGTCTGAGTATGTAATTATCTATTCTGGACCAACAGGGTTGCTCGATCGAAAAACTTCTCTCGGAGCGGGTACGCAAAATTCTGTTGCGCAATCACAGCCTGGACTACGAGGCGGGATGATAAAGCAGTGATTTTAACGGGACAGATTATCAGGATGAAGACAACGTCATGGGATACCGTCCTTCCCCACGAGCTTTGACTGATGCATGCAAACCGATGCAAGAAGACAGAAACTCGAGCTGAGGTCAAGTCAATCGGGTTACGTCATCGATCGGGGTTAATGAGTAGAGGTGAACCACTGCTGTCCTCGCAGAAACCATGCGGACGTGACCTTCGCAGAGCTGATTACGCACATAACTAAGGCATCATACGTAAAGTTATTAACGAATAACTGCTCAGGGAAATTACACTGCACCAAGCACTACTGATCGCAAATCATATAGCTGATGTCGCTAATTCAATCGATCCGCATGCCACTTTTGCAAAATATGATCGTGCTCAAGTGATACTAGAAAGAAGGAAAATATCACATTGAATCTTACCACGAAGAGATCAAGCAGAGGGACTATATATCAGGTCAGTGAAACACCGTAATCGAAGAATTCATCAAAAAATGTTTTGCGGAACAAGCTTGAATAGTAATGCGATGGGAATGTTTGTGATAGCCAACAAAGAGTACTGGACATCTGTTTTGCTATATTTGGGATTCATCAGCAGTGCGTACTTTTTGTGTTCCTGTCAGGAATCCAACCACGAGTGAAACCCACACCTAGGACCATCAAGTGTCCCTGAGGCCTCTGAACAATGGGATGGAAAAATTTAAGCTTGATACTCTAAAAAAGCTTGAATATTCTTGGTGAGAAATGGGATTCACATGCTTGTATTCTTTGGTACCTAGTTTTGGCCGCGACTACGTGACCTCAGTTTGCTCCTTTGCATCGTTTTAGTGTTGCACCGCGACCACGTGTCGTCCTGCACACGAACAAGCCAACCTCAGCACTACGCTTCGATTGCCCTGCAAGGCAAAGGGGTGATGAAGTAGTACGAGAGTGGCGCACCCCACGATACTTTCTAAGCACCTCTCACGGAAAGAAAACCAACCATGTACACGATCTTTGTCATTGACCATCAACTAATGGAAAAATATGCAACTAAAAATTTCGGACACCTTCCGGATATAAAGCCGACGTTCATTTTACCTCTAGATACATCAACAGAGTGAACCCCATCCTAATTTATAGTGACGTTCACAACAAGTTCACGTTTGACCACGAATGGAGCGGAACCCGTGCGCTTTGAGATCGCCATGTATGATGTGATAAGCTTGAAAGAAGTGGGTCGGAGTAGATGTCCAAGTCCAGACGATCCGCAGTTTCAATGGTAATGTTGCCTAGACGGGCTACGAAACATCTGCGAACACCAACTCCGGGAACACATCAAACCTGAAACCTGTATCTCAAGCTATAATCATTGGACATTATATCCAATGGTGCGTGTACGGTCGATCAATTGTCATGTTAATTTATCACCAGCCGATGGTGGGGCACAATTACGTGCAATAGGATTTCGCTGTACAGGATCATGTCTAAAAGACAGTCGCTACGAGAAAACTAATGTACCTAACGAGGCAAGAAAAATCGGAACACTGAGTGTACCGTGAGAATACATGCTGACGGAAGATAGCCATACAGGCGTAAAGTTCATTTACGCAGATTAATCAGACAACAGATGGCGATCTCACTCAACCTGTAGTTGAGATACCATTACTTGAGGGCGATCAAACAGATTGGTTGGGATATCTGCTAAACCAATCTGAACTCCGGGAGGAAACGATCTTTCATTGCTTTCACGAAGTCACCGGGCGACGCTCTCAATGTGCAACGGAATCACTAGAACATCCCGTCGGTTCCGACAGCAGACAGAGCAACGAGTGACAGCTTGACGATCCATCACAAATAATTGGTTGGCACTGCGCGGCATACAAGGTTCAACGAAGACGCGAGAACTAGAACCGGGAACATCCTCTGAGGGATTAAGCATAAGGCATTCACTGAGACTACAGCAAACAGCACAAACAAATTGATTAGAGAGCGAATAACGTTTTATGACGAAAATCGACAGGTACAGATGATACTGTGGTTTAATGCTAAGCAACACGTGTATGTCTGACGAAACCCGCCCAATAACCATAATCAGATTAACTCGACAAGTTCTGTTTGCCGGTCGCAACTCACGAGGCTGCACCATTCTGCTTCACTCGTCACTTCGAAAATTATGCGATAAACTCATCGGTTGTGGCACAACGCTGAGGTTACTAAGCTGGTTGAAAGACTACTAAACTGATCGTAGTTATCAAGTGAGGGCCACTAGGGAGCTTTTGAAGCCACCACCTAGCCCTAAGTGGAGTACCACAGGGATCTATACTAGGTCTCTTGCTCTTCATACTCCTAATCAACTACTTGGCGTGACTACTAACAAGTGACTCCTCTATGCGGATGACATCAAGATCTGGCGCAGTATCAGAAAAGATGTGATCGGACGATGGGAAATCGAAAATGATCTCTCATTGAACCAAATGCCATGTACTACACGTTATTGGAGGAACCGGCAGCAGATACTACCTTAACTCGGTGCGACTGATAGTGGTTAAACAGGAAACAGATACGGTCGGTTCTGCGAAGCGTCCCAACTTATCAAGAAACCGCGTTAGGCTAGTGAAACGAGGCAGCCTAGTGCAGAGCCTAATAAACCGGAACCTGGGAAAACTGGAGCTTGGGTGATTCACAATTTTATATAGAATCCATCTTGAATAAAATATTCGAGCGTGTCCCCCAACTTCAGTAGGAGACATCAAAGCACTGGAAGTGGTTCAGAGAAGAGCCACTAAGTGAGTCATCGGGCTTCTGCAATTGATCGACAAAGACAAAATTCGGTGACTTAACCTCCTCAACCTTTCTTACAGGATGCTGAGTGGACCTAATATTGATACACAAAATAGCATCAACGCAGTGTTACCCGAAAAGCGAACTAATAGCACTATCGCCGCACCGTCAACTGAGGGCACTATAGGAGGATCTTGCACCAGCAGAGTAACACTAATAGCAGACGGTTACATTTCTCCATCCGGGCCACATCCGCTGGAAACTTATTACCCGAGGGAGTGGTCTCTGCGCCTACGACAGCGTGTTTCAAGCAGACTAGATAAATTCGCCGTGGGCCTCAGCTCGGCAGTGGACAGCAACCTACAGTATCCTCGAGGTAATGTTAGGTGGACCTCTGGACTGTGCATGCAGTACACCTCATAAAGCGTGCAAACTGGTTCAGTTAACTACCTACAAGTAACTAATCTGCAACATCGTCAAATGTAACCTACCGATCGCTTTTTGATTACATTTTGAGATTACAACAATAAATCAATCCAAAACAGAAATTTCCGAACATCAGACTTTACCGCATAGATCAAGAAAAGGGCAAAACTACAGACCAACGAGTTTTCTCTGCCTGTAAAGTGGACATTGGACAGTATAGCACATCCTTCGTCGAGAACCTGATAAAATGCATTGACTCGTACAAACCGTCACGACCGACTTAAAGCATGGATTCATAGCATCGTACCCGATCCACAAGTTCGACCGAAGGAACACGAATCCTTCGAGCCAGCGAAAATGAGTAAGAGGACACGCCATCTACCAAGAATAGTAATAATACGGCTGAAACTGTATACATCAACGAAATCTTATGCCACACGACACCGATGCATTACGGTCCAATGACAAAGAAAGAAACAAGTCTGTAGCCGTGGGAAAAATAGGAATATATACTAAAAGTGGAAATGCGACCAAGAACACAGGAGGCACACAAGAAAGAAAGTTGGCATGACTACTATATACAACTCTTGGCTAAGTTGCACAGTGTATTAAGAGATGAAAGAGACAGAATGCTGTTTTAAAGGTAGATAAGTGGTTGATCAAGGTCTGATGAGATGGAAAATAAACAGGTGTCGTTATGGGATACCGAACCCATTGACTTGTAAAAATAAAGAAATCTTGAATCATCGGAAAGATCCCTGTGAGACATGCGGAGCTGTTCCAGACGCTTCAAGACTCAAGGACTGCTGGACAGGGTTAGAGCGGGGTATTTGTCAATACTAAATTGGGGGATTAGGTCAATGGGATCATAAGCGGGATCGAAGAACATTTCTTCTGCCTTGAGGCCTATTGGATCTGTCACAGTGTCGGATACCAACGTATGTAAGTCTACTGGCTCCTCGTTGAACGGGCCCAAGTCAATATGCTCGGCGGACCAATCTATACCATCCAACTCATTGACCAGCCGCAAAGATGTGCTATCCAGCCTGGTACGACGGTTGAATTTTGAAGGGAAGTAGTCGGAGTTAACATGATAGGAAAGAAGAGGCTTCTCCAGAGTGGATTCCCTCTCATCTAAGGTGTCCGGGAGAGGGGAATGGACTGCTGAATCTGGACAAACTAAAGAGTCGGAAAGCTGTAGGTTAGGCGTTGGAAC